ATATGTAGTACATGTAGTACATGTATATTATTCACGTGATCTGAAAAAAATTTGGGTGGTGAATTTACCCCGGTATTTCTTGTTATTTCCCCGGGAGCACTTAAGTTTTTATATTATACATTTTTTTTTAGTTTACATAATGGTTTTATCCTTGACGAAAGTTTTAAATTCCATTAGCCATTATAATAGTACTACTTAAATGAAGATCTTAAAATTCTTGATAGAACACGATAGTTATTTAAATAACTTTGTAATAGTAACATTATAATTAAAGACAAAGTTTTTTAAATTTCTTTAATATGATTGTATTATTAAAGCAAAAATTAGGTTCGCAATTATCTTTCTATAACCTTTTTTTTGTCAGACTAACTAAAGTCATTTGAGTCGAAAAATGCTAAAACCCTAGCTATGGCAAAAACGAGATATCTGATCTCATAGGCAGAAGTTTGTCTGATTGGCTAATAAATTCATTAATTATACATTATTTATACAGTTTAAAGTACTTTTTAAAAAAAAACGAAAACCAACCACAATAATGTAAAAAAAAAACTATATAGAAGGTTTCATTAGAGCTATAGGCAGAGTTGGCAAATTTGTCCATTGTCATCAATAGAGCTCCGGTCCATTGACTCAAAAAATTAACTCCATTGAAGATATATTTTTTCAATGGACCAATGGACAATAGACTATATTGATTTATATAATTTTAATAGTAAAAAAAAAAAAAAAATTTATTATTATAGACTTTGCAACTAATTAAACTTGAATAGTAATTCTTTAATTGTTGAATTGTATATGATATGAATTACCAGATTGAATAAAGCAAGAATAGGTTATAATCGATAACATTGTATAATTTTAATGCATGTTGATAAGAGTCAATGGATCAAAAAGAAATGAAAGAACTGGTCAGGGTCACATGCTGTGCGTCACAACCCCACTCTCAAATCACAAGACAGAGGGCATGGGTCGGGATCAAAGAATGGATCAATCAGTTAAATTGCATGAATTAACACGCAACCAGATATGTAACAGAAAAGCCACTGACCACAATCGATATATAAAGAACCGAAAACAAAATGCTTCAACACCCTTTTCTACTTCGATACATTAGTCTTCGGCAAACAAATTTCTCAACCCAACCTCTCCTACCATATATTGTAGTCTCCTGATTTTGCCATTTTCCTATTTAACAGCCAGCCTGCTTCAAGCAGGTGGGAAACCACTAGCTGATGCTGCTTCTCGCTCATTCTACTTCTCACTTGTTCTACTGTTACAATGATACCTGGCACAATCTCACTTGCTAATTTTCTGGAAGCATATCATCATTTCAGTTCGATTTACTTAGCTAAATTTACTTAGTTAAAATTATTTATAATGTCATAATGTATTCTGCAGACTTCATGTCCTTTAATTGAATTTATTTTCGACATCTTTGGCTAGCCAGCATTTATCCAACACATAACCAGTTGTACTGATACTTTTTGTATTTATTATTACAGACTTACAATATGCATAATCTAAAGGATAATCATATATAACAATAAAAAGTTCGATCTGTAAGATCGAATCTACATTTTGATTTTTCTTTTAACTAGAATCAAAGTAACGATGCTGTTGAACCTTAAATAAAGATTAGGTAGTTGTTATTAAAGATATGATTTGGTGTATTAGAGAAGGAACAGAGAAAAGAACGAAAGTGGATGCATATATATAGCTAAACTCTAAGCAGTTATTATGTATAAAGCGCATTTACTTGATACTATATTAATAACTTAATATTATTTGCATGGTTAGTAAAGAAAAAATCAATATTTATAGTTTATATAAATATTTTACACACAATATAAGAATTTAATCTTTATTGTAAAAACATATTTATAGTAATATAATATTTATAAGTTATAAATAAATTCTGGATCAGGAATATTATCTTTGAACAAAGTTTCTAGCTTTCACTTTGCATCATTGTTGATAGCCAGATGATCTGTATCACAAATAATTCGATCTATATTATCTTCACCTACAGTAAGATCAATTTCATCCTCTTCTTCTTCAGAGATCATATTAACCCACTGTTGTATTATTTTATTCTAATTATTAATACTAATAACTTCATTTTCTTCATTAACTTCTTCTGCTTTATCATCTGAATCATTATCCACTATAAACACATCATCGCTTTCATTTTCTTTGAGTATTGATAAGGCAACATTATTTTGCTTGTACTGCTTAATTGATAATTCAATTTCTTTCAAACAGTTATGTCAGTTCATAGTAGCATGAAGTTGACTCATATGAAGCACTTTTTGAGGTTAAAATTTTTAAAAATTAATGGATCTAAATATTAACAATTAAAAATTTAAATAAATTTAATCAAACCTTTAAGTGAGATCGTGACTTATTATACAACCAACTCATGCATGAGAAAAGTCTTTCAACGGAGACAGAGTTAACACAAATTCCGAAGATATAGCATGCTATTTTACCTAATTCTTTTGCTGAAGTAGTACAATATTCCCAGTAACCCATAATATTATTATTAAACTGGTTGTTAACACGTTCAGTAAATGGCTTTTCTCCTTTTCGATATTTTTCAAGTTCAGGTAAAAGAGTATAAGGTTTATTATCAAACTAGGCACAATAATAGTATATTAGCCAATCACTAAGTTAAAAATAAAGTTGTTCATTTATAGAGCTAAATACTGATATGCTGTATTTAGGATGAAGTAAAAATGAAAGGAATAATAATGGCTGTTTCTAGGAATTCTATCTGTGCTCTAAATGCTTAATCATATTAGTAGCAAAATTTTGGTTTGAATAACCTTTATATAATTTTATAAGATAGGAAACACAATGAACAACTTCATATAATCATGCTTTATCACATTGTAACTTGTTAAGACATGCACAATATAGAAGAAGAAGCTGGGAAAGTTCTTGAAGTTGTGACCACTATAGCTCATTATTAATAATTTTGTATATATTGTCAGGCAAGTAAAGAGCTGAAGATTTATTATTTGATATCATTTCTGAGAATTCAAATTTTGCAACAAGCATCTATAATATATAAATTTATATATAAATTAATATTATAGCA